AGAAATGTTTCTTTCACAAGAAATGTATAAAATTACAGTACTAAACAGACGATAGGTCGCCTAACTCGCCGTAGCGTGACGCCAGGCGGCAGATAATATATATATAATTATAATAAAGTTAAAATAAATTAAGTTAATATATAATTATATATACAGTACCTAATTTATATATAATACTGTACAGACGATAGTAAACTCAACTTACTCGCCTAAACTCTGTAGCGTGTAAGTAGTTCAGCTGATCGTCTACTATTGGTCCAGATTCGACCAATCCTGTCGTGACACGAGTCGGCGACAACGTTTTACGAGACCCTTTTAGCGTCTTTATACGAATACCGTCACAATTTTTTCGCCACGTTATAGGAATCTCTGTTACAGGAACCCACGTTATAGGGGGGTCTACTGTAATCAGTTCGACATATCAAATATCTTTGATATGTCAAACAAATAGTCAAGAATAAAACTGTTTCATAACAAGGCATAACAATTTAAAATCTTAGAAAAATATATAGGCCATTGCATATTTAATAGTTATTTAAGCTACAATAAAACAGTTACAAAAATATTTGTGGAGAACAATAAAATTGTATTTTATTGAAATTTTACTTAAATATGTAATTTTCTTAACCTCATAATTAAGTAAAGATGACATTGTATGTAAATAATTCTCACCTGACTAATAGGATTTTCTATTATTAAAAATTTGAGCTCTACTGCTATCAGGACACTGGATAGGAATATGAGTGCAATCAATTGCCCTAATTATTCCAAACATTATCCTTAGATAATATAGAAAAATCCTGCATAATAGATGGAAGTTCAGATTCTGTCGGAAATACGATTTCAGCATTTTTCAGATGAACTAATGCCTTTGAAACACTTTGGATGGTTCTGATAATGGTATAATGATAATTAATAATGAATACAATATATAACTTAATACAAACATTAAACAAGACCTTATTCTTATAAACATCTCTTCACTGTACAAAAACTTTTAAAATTTATTTAATAATAGTTTGATACGAGGGTCATTCTAAAAGAAAAGAACATTTTGATCTGACAAACCATTCAGTTCTCCCACTATCCTCCACTGTTGCATCATGAACCTTTCCGTGTTTTCACGCCAGTCTGATGCTAACAGTAAGCCACAATGATTGTTTATTGTTTACAGTGTGACTTTGAAATGTGTGATAAAATTAAAGATCTCACCAAGTGTGAGGTTTGTAGTGTAATACGCTTTTTGAATGCGAAAAAAGTCTGCCCTATCAAAATTTACAGATAACCAAGGTTTTTTTTTTTTTTTTTTTTAGGTAACCTGTGGAATTGCAATGAAAATATGTATTGGTTGTATTTGTTTATCGAAGAGAACAAGGAAAAATTTGAAAGCTTAAGTTCGGTAATGTGCCAGGAATCAAAGTATGGTTTAAATGAAACAATTATGAATATTTTGGAAGTAGTTCATCTTGAAAAGCAAATTAACAATACCGAATTGTGTAATTTTTGTAATTGCTCATTAAACCAGGATAGAAGATTTGTAGCGGTTGACTGTAGCAACAGGAACCTGACTGCCTTACCTGAATTGCTTCCGGTAAAAACTCGGCAAGTGTCTCTCAATAATAATCAAATTACGTCACTAACAATAAAAGAGTCTGCTTCCCACTGGGAATACGTAAGATTTTTATATTTAAGTAATAACCGCATTTCATCATTGCTTTCTTTACAAGATTTTAAATTTCACAAGAATCTTATTGAACTCAATCTTAGTAATAATAAATTAAAAGAAGTTCCCATCTATCTACTCGATAAGCTTACTAAATTGGAAATCTCCTTGGGAGGAAATCCATGGAAGTGTGACTGCAACACGGTCAGGTTTAAAACTTGGTTGCAGGATAATTATCAGATGGTGGTAGATATTGGAGACATACGTTGTGCACCTGGAGACTTATCTCATTCAAATTCCATAATCTACTATTTGCAGAAGTCGGATCTGTGCCCGCAGGAACGAGTTATAGATTATTTGGATATTCTAAATGTCGTTATGGGCATTCTTATTGTCGTAATTATATCAAAAGTTACTTACGATTATTGGCGACAGAAACGAACGGGTAAACTTCCAAGGTTTTTCAGTTTAAATTGATTAGAACTTTGTTAATATTTTTGTTTTTGACTTAAAAATGCTACTGTGCATTTAAAATATAATTTTGTACAGCATCCATTTAAGTTTTGTTGTTAAAAATTATGACAAAACATTGCTGTAAAGAATATTGTAGCAAATTTTTTGATTGCTACTGAATTTTATTATTGTTTTTTTAATTTTTATGTACAAATTGTTGTTAAGGAAAGTAATTTGTGCCATTTTTATTCATTTCAAATCTATAATACAAATTGAAATGAAAGTTATTTAACTTGTTAAGTCACTAAAAAAAAATCAATATTTTAATTGGTACATCCCAAAAAACATCATGAAAAAATGTCATTAAAAATTTTTCTAATCATCTTATATTATACTCTGAATGGACATTATATTTTTGTTTAATTCATACTTTATGAGAATGGAAATGAGAAGAGAAGCAAGTATCTTATCTGTTTCTATTGTTCACTTCTCAAGAATGTTCATACTTTGAAACAATGAAATAAAATGTGCAAGTGCTTCCAATGCTCATCATTGTGCTACTTTAAAGCACTTGTCAGAGTCATAAAAGCATTTACTATATTTTATGGCATATAAGATGCAATCTTTGACCAAAAAAGCAAAAGATTCCCTGTCTCTTATGTGAAATTGTGATCTCTGATAAGCTAATGAATTATCCTGTATATAGGAAGAGAGTGTCTCTAGTAGGTTATAGGTAACTTCTACCTAGCCCAATTCCTGGATAAAAATATTACTGTTTAATTAAACTTATTACACTGAATAATTTTTCCTAAATACTCTGTGCTAAATGGGGATGCATCTTATATGCCATAATGTACAGTACCTATTTTCTTAAGCAATTGTAAAATGTTTTATTAGAAACGCACATTTTTCAAAAACAAAATGAAGAATTTTACAAACAAAAGGAAACTAGGGAAGATAGTCTGAAGTACATTTTTTATATATAAATTTTAAATTAATACAGGCCCATGAGAAAATGGATGGTTACAAATAGACATTATTAACTTTAGAATATTTATTAACACGTTTTCACATACAAAATTTCAAACAACATAGTCTGCCATTTATGTTTTGAAGATGATATCACTCCAGTAATTGATTCACTCTCACACAATTCATTTTTGAAGTATAATTTCAATGTTTTAATAAAAGAAATAATTTCAATATTTTGTGAACAAAGCATATGGTATGTGAAGATTGTCTACAAAATACTGAAACTTTAAAGGTAATTTGTCACGTAGTTAACAACATACCAAGAATATATTGCACTACTTTAGGCACAACATACTTTGAAAATGAAGTGTGTATCAATGGAACTCACTGGAGTGATGTTGACTTCAAAACACAAATGGCAAACTATGTTGTTTGAAATCTTGTATACAAAAACTTAGTTATTAAATTTTTAATACTTATAAAGGTCTGTTTATAATCACCTGTTTTACTGCCAGACCTTGTATTCCAATTTTGAAGCTTAATAAGTCACTCAAAATATATAAATAGTGTATAAAAGTATCAATTAACATTTCTTGGTTACTTTGATTAAAAACACAAAGAATTGTTGGAATATTTTACTATTTAGTATGTTAAGAGAAATGCATGGAGTATAGCAAAATAAACTGACTTAGTGTCTCTCGCTCTCATATCTTTGTGGTTGTACTTAATACGAATCAAACTTGAGGATTTTTCAGACCTACATTCTACATGATATTAACTGAAAGAAATGAGATTTTATATTTAAAATTAAACTGAATAACCAACTTCCTCACAAGGTTGTAAAACTTCAATTTAATTCCAAATTGGTCTCAATGTCAAAATCATTTTAAATACATAATTACTTATGTAAACTCATTATATATAGAAAATATATTCTATAATGTTGATTCTATATTCTTCAAATTGTGTTGTGAAATGATGTTATAGTTGTTCAAATGATTATGTACAGTACATGTATAAAGTGGTAATTTTTACATCATGTTTTAATATAAAGATTTCAGATCCCTTAATCCACAGTTTAATTAAATCAAGAAATGTCGGTACTTAATGTTTAATAATCTTAATGTTATGTTATTGTTTATATACCGTTGTTATTTTAATGAAAGATTACAAAGTCTTATAAATATTGTTATACAAGAAAAACATTTCTATATTTGTATGAGTAATGTGTAAGATATTAAATGATGAAACATTTGTAATCTTTTTAATTCTGTTATATAAAGATTGTCTAAACATATTCAAATCTTGTTCATTTTTACTTTTCCAGCTCTGTTATGAGCCATTCATAAGCCAAATCAATTAACTCCACATTTAAAATTTTTTAAAATTTTAGTGTCAAAGCACTTGATATGTCTTCTTTAAACCTCCGTGTACTCTTTCTGTCAACCTGACAAGGAGGTTTAAAGAAAAAGATATATAAAAAAAAAAATAAAAAATGACATGGATCTTGACTAAACAAGCACTTGATATGTTCATAACTTTTTATATTCATAAGTTTCCCTAATAATAAGAATCAATACGACAATGACAAAAGTTTATTGGCCATCAAAAAAACTTAGATTGGCTTCTGAAATAAACTCCATACTGTAATGTAAATCTGCCATAACATACTGTGATTGCAATGCTGCAGTGTTCACTAACCAATGCATTGTAGATAATGGTAAATTATTTAACGTTATCTCAACACAAAAAGTAAGTAAAAGAAATTAGTTATAGTTCACCTGCTGCAGAAGTAAGTATACTTGTGAAATATTATTGAATGATTGTTTTAATTTTGGTGGCAATTGTTTTTAGAAAAAAAAGTTATGTCATATCAAGATGGATGAAACTAAAAATAATTTTTTCATTCTTCCTATTAAACATGATTCTTATAAAAATTTAAGAACAAATCGACATGATGGACCTCAAATACAGCTGACGAAGAAATCATTTACGTTGCTGAATAATCAATTTAAACAAAATAATAATAACTATGGTAATAGTAACAGAACAGTTATTATTCATTTTTGTGAAAAATTTTAATAAAAAATGTATGATAATGACATTTCTCTGTAATAATAAAACTGACTGAACTGCATGTTACTACTTTTTTCACTTGACAAATTGATTAACTCTGCCAATCACACCAAAATCATAACAACAACGATTATAGCATATCTATGCTATTTTATACATTGTTAAATAAAAGCTACATCTACAATAATACATTCTACAATGTTTATTCAAATTTATATTTTACAAGAAATTTTTAAAAAGAATGTATATTACTTTGTCACTTTAACTTCATAAAACAAAAACTGAAGAAATCGATTTGGCAAGTGAGCAGCACATATGTAAGAGAGAAAGTATGGCGATCAGTCAAAAATCGACTCCCGAAAATTTTAATATTTGGATTGGGACACCTTGAAACGTTGAGAAATACAAAAAATTTTGGAGTTTTTTTTCTGTACGAATATTAGTGTGTATGTGGGGGCTTGATTTTGTTCACCCTAATTGAAGCTTAACAATTCCTCTGCTGTCAAAAATTTCTGAAGTTTTTCAGGGAGGTTTGTATATTAGGGGGATTGATGCTATTAAATTTTGGTGGTTAAAGGTTGACAGAGTGGGGAAATAAAGGGGTCATGTGTTGAGGACACAGTTTTGAGTAGGGTCGGATGTAACGATTTTACTCGTTAACATTTACAATTTCTTATAAAATCTGTCCCTACCTTTAAAATTAAGCTTTTTACCACTATATTAATTAAAAATATAAAAAGTTTTTAATAATAAAATATAACAGGTGTCATTACACATGCCATTTTAAATGTTTCTGGAAAGTTAAGCAACTGATTTCCAGATTTTTTTTGTGTTTAATTAAATCCCAAGGAAGATTTTTGCTCTGGATTTTACTTTCTTGGCTGTTATGTATACATAACAAGGCGAATGTTTACCAATATTTAATTAATTAAATTCTGGGAGCAATACCTTCAATAAATTTTCTGCTTTTATTTGCACTAAAGTACTTTGGTTTTATATATTTACTTTAGTTCTAATAAAAGCAGAAAATTTACCAAATATATTTGTCTTGGAGTTGCACATTCAAAAATAATTAAATCAAAATGTTTACAAGATGGTAATTTTTGGTCCTCAATTTTTAAAATTTTGCTTTTTCTAGGAAGCAAAAATTAGAAAATTGTGGGAGCAGGTATTTTCCAATTGGTTCAATGTTAGTAATACAGATTTGATCAAACAAATGCATAACTTGTGAGAAGTAATGCAAGGAGTTTAGCAATGTTGTAAGTACCATATATACTGGATGACTGTACAGCAATAATAGAAAAGTGAGCATGAAGAGTTTGGTGATGCTGATATGGTATGAGATCTTTCACTTATTTGTTAACCACGTTACTGGCTGGTTACTAGACTCATTTATATTTATTTCTTCCGTAATTATAAAATGCAATTCTTAGTCAACCATTCAATGTAATCTAGATCTAAAATTAATTGTCTGAAAAGACTCAATTGAAGAAGTTACTCAATTCTTTGGGTGTATCAGTTCTTACAGACTTTTAAGCACTTACAACTTCAAAGTTCTTTTGTAGTCCTTAATTTTTAAGGGAAATGGGAACCATATTATCATCTTAACATTAAATAAAGAAATTCTGATAAGTAAACAGAAAACAAAGCAAAATAAAATTGTTTTTAATTAGGTAGGATTTGTAGTTTACAAAAAATTTACTTGTACAAATGTATTATAACAAATGTCATATCCTTAATGAATGAATACATAGTATGACCAAAACAATAAGATTGGAAGTGACAAACCATCCAATTGGAATTTCACTCTTGTTGTACTCGTTTACTGGCACAAAATTTTCAAATTGTATTCGTCTTGCAGAATTAAAAGATGACTTGTATCAAATTCTCATAGATAGTTATAAATATAGTATGATTTCTAAGATATTACTTACATATCTAATTGTAATGAATTACAGTGGGTGATCGGTTAACGAACAGATCGCATAACGAACAAATCGGATAACGAACACTTTCGCGAAAGACTTTTTATGTTCGGACAACGAACACCCCACAGAAGAAGCGACGTAAATTAATGAATACCAATTGGTCTTCCCTTGTCTTTGGGCAACAATTCGAAACTTTTCGGAGTGTGGGAGACGTCGACATCGACGCTCAAGCCGATATATTATATACCGATCGGATATTATTCCTCCGAACTTTGAAACTCTTCCTTGTAATTTCAGCCTTTTATTTTTCTGACAAAACAATTATTTTATGTATTCGTGAGACTGTCGGGTAGGCACTCGTTAAGTTTTGCGTCTGTTTTTCTTTTCGAAAGGTGAGAGTATAATAGCAAAGGTAGAGAGTGGGCAGAAGATGCCTAATGTTGCTGGGCAGTATGGCGTAAACAGGTCTACAGTAGGCTGAAGTTCAATCTTATTTAAGAAACATACTGTATAATCAAGAAGACTCAAGCAGCTAAAGGAGTAACAAAAATCACATCTGAGAAATAAAGAATATCGAACAGTTCATAATGGAACACGAAATGGATCTGACGACAGAAGAACGCCAAGAACTCTTGAATGAAGAACACCAAGAAACTCGGCGAGATATGTTTTCTTCTGAAAAAGAGGATTAATGCCGATATCTTATATTAAAGATCCTTTGAAGAAGTGGGAGGATGTCAGAACAACGGTCTTAGAATGGCATCCAAACCAGGTTAAGGCTTGGGGATTTCTGCAATTGCAATGCTATTAATTACTTACGAAAAATCCTGAAGAAGAGAGAAAAGCAATCGACATTAGACAGATTCTTTAACCCTTTCAAACAGAAAAAAAACACGACTAATAAAAACGCAAGACTATGTATGTATGTATTTTTATTATCATCAATACATATAAATAAAGGTAGTAAGAAAGTATATATATTTTTTTATTTTGGGGGTCTCCAGAACCAATTAATCAAATTCCCATAGAAACCTATGGTAAATCGATAATCGGTTAACGAACAATTCGGATAGCGAACAAAGTCTTGGAACGGATTATGTTCGTTAACCGATCACCCACTGTACTATATTTATATTTGAATTTAAATGCTTTAGGTTAAATGTTAGAAGTCTGAACGGAAAGGAAGTAGAGCTAGCTGAAGAGCTAGAAAAGTATAATGTATAAGTACAAATGGTAAGTATCACTGAAACTAAGAAAATTAAAGTTGGAGAGACAAGCCTAAACAAATATAAGTTGATCTACTCAGGAAATGATTACTTTTTGAAGTTCTTAAGAAATAGGGCATCAAGAGTATTCCACTCAGGAATCCAAAGCTTGTATAGGAATTGCAAATCAGCTATAAGGGTAGAAGGACAAATAGGTGACTGGTTCCAACTAATACTAGGAGTGAGGCAAGGATGGACATTGTCCCCTTTATTATTCATAATTTTCATGGATAAAATAAAATAACCAAAACTATTGACAAACTTCAGTTTCAGAAATATAAAAATTGGTTCTTTACTCTGTGCGATTGTCCTACTAAGCAATAAACCTGAGGACCTCTAGCAATCTTTAAATAATTTAGAGGAAAGTTGCAGGAATTTTGGTATTTCAATCAGCTATGAGAAAACAAAGGTTATGGCTATTAGTAGAGAAAAAGAGACTTTAACAGTTTAAACTTAGTAACAAATGCTTAGAACATGTCAATAAGTTCTCATCTTTAGTGAAGATGGAAAGTTAGATTTGGAAATCAGCAATAGATTAAACAAGGCAGGTCAGGCAAAGAGCCAATTGATCAAATATATCTGGAACAAGAAAGAAATAAGTCATAAGATGAAACTAGCTGTGTACAACATAGTTTTTAATCCTATAGTAACATATGGTTTTGACAGTTGGGTTAGAAATAAGGGAATTGACCAAAGATTAGAAGCAACAGAAATGAGAGTTTTTAGAAAAATTAGTGGTGTTAATAGATGGATATGGTGACAAAATCATATTAAAAATGAAGACATAAGGAAAAACCTTAAGATAACAAATATTCAGTAGAGAGTGAGGCTAATCCGAGGCGGTTTGGCCATTTGTAAAGAACAGGAGAAGACCGACTAGCCAAACAGGTATTCGAAGGTAAAATCAAAGAGAAAAAAACCAAAGGCCTACATGAAAGTGGATTGATAGTGTTAAGCAGACTTTAGAGAAAAGGAATTTAACTTTAATCCAGGCTAAAAACTTGTCTGTTGATAGGAGAGTTTGGAAAAATTAGTGGATGGTAGTATAAAAGTTTGATTTTTTCACCATGTACAGTACACCCTTGGGTATCAGCAGGAATGGATGATGATGATGATGTTTTATGTATGCTAATTTTGGTAACTTTAAATGACTTGATAATAATATCCACAATTACAATAAGCAGATTCCACTGTACATAAAATTAAATAATTTTGTAAGAAAGATGAAATTGAGTTTTTGTAAGAAAGAGAAATTGAGGCACATAAGTTTTTAGGTTTCACTCCATTATCAACAAGAAACCAAACATTTGGCAAATTCTCCAGACAAAAAAATTATCTTATCTGAAATTCAACATTAATATTCTGAGAACTGTAACTGTAAACTAAAATCAAATTTTATAGAGCTTATTCAATGTTTTTTTAAAAAATGATAAAAGTAAGTGTAATTTGAAAATTAGCAATGTCTTTTTCCAGATGTTGGATTTAATTTGTTTTACTTTAATGACATGCATTAAGAATGGAAAACAGATTTATTGAAACAATTCTTTCTTTTATGTGAAATTTATTTATAAAGACTAGAACTGAAAAGAAACTAGAACATTTATCATACAAAAATTTATATTCTAGTTCTTTAAATGCCAAAGGAAAGGTCTCGTTCAATTTTGTTGCTCATTTTTTAATCAGATACAAAAGCTATTAATAATATAGAGATCTTAAATATTTTCCACATAAAACAATTTCATAAGATAATAACAACTAAAGATAAAAAAATATTCATTTTAAAAATTTAGTTTGGTATCAAAAATGGAATGCCAAAATACTACTATTCTTTTTCCCTGATTTTTCGATTTACTAAATAAAAATAGAGAATTGTTCAAAACTGTTTATAATGCCCGAAGTTATTGACACAATTTGTTTGTTTAGTTACCATTTTAAAGATATTATAATTCGTCTTTGTCACCCTTTACATCTTTATCTTTCGCTTTGGATTTTTCTGGCTCTCTACTTTCCGAGCTGTCTTTCGATTTTGACTCGCTTTTCTTTCGGCTCTCTTTTGATTTCTTTTTCTTTTCTTTCTTCTCTAATTTAAGGTCTTCATCTAAACAACCTGAGTAAAATTAAAACAACATATTTAGACTAATAAAAAAAAATATATTATTATTTATTAATTACTTCTAAATTACTCACTAATACTATTTTTGTATCTAGAAGGAATAACAAATTGATAACTGGAATTTTTTCTGTATCACACAAGAACTTGGCAATCACAAACTATATAAACTACTTTTTGTATACTAAATTAGAAATAAGACAACAAAATTAACAAAAGTACAATAGTCGCTGTAATCTGACATATATTGGACCAGTGGGTGTCAAATTACTGGATTTTGTATGTATTGTACAGTAAAAAAAAAATAATACGGTGGTGATCGGTTAACGAACACTTTTGTGAAAGATTTTTATGTTTGGACAACAAACACATGATCGGATAATGAACACCTCACAGAACAAACACAAGAAGCAAATATAAAATAATGAACACCAATTGGTCTTCCCTTGTCTTTGGACAATTTGAAACTTTTTGGAGCACGGGAGATGTTAACATCAACGCTCAACCCGGTATATACTGAACAGATAGTATTCTTCCGAACTTTGAAACTCTCCCTTGTAATTCCAGCCTTTTATTTTTCTGACAGAAACAATTCTTTTATAGTATTTGCAAGACTGTTGGGCGGGCACTCATTAAGTTTTGCGTCAGCTTTTATTTTCAAAAGGTGAGAGTATAATATCACAGATACAGAGTGGGCAGGTGTCTGTTGTTGCTGGGCAGTATGGCTTGAACAGGTTTACAGTAGGCCACAGTTCAATCTTATCTAAGAAAGATACTGTATTGTCAAGAAGACACAAGCAGCTTAAGGAGTAACAAAAATCACATCTGAGAAATAAAGAACATTGAAGAGCTCATAATGGAACCTGAAACCGATCTGACGACAGAAGAACGCCAATAACTATTGAATGAAAAACACCAAGAAACTTGGCAAGATATATTTTCTTCTAAAAAAGAGAATTAATGTCTACATCTGCTATTAAACATTTTTTTGAAGAAGTGGGATGATGTCAGAATGATGGTCTTAGAATGGCATCCAAACTAGGTTGAGGTTAATAGGCTTAGAGATATCTACAGTTATAATGCTATTAATTACTTCTGAAAAATCTTGAAGAAGAGAGAAAAGCAATCGACATTGGACAGATTCTTTAACCCCCACAAATGGAAAAAACACAATGCAAGACTGCATATATATGTATTTTTACTATTACATATAAATAAACGTAATAAATAAAAAATATAAAAATAAAATATCCAAAAAATAAAAACGTATATATTTTTTTATTTTTTGGAGTCTCCAGAATGAATTAATCAAATTCCCATAAAAACCTATGGTAAATCGATAATTTGTTAACAAACAAAGTCTTGGAACGGATTATGTTCATTAACCAATCACCCACTGTATATTGAAAAATTTGCTTTCCAACTACTAAATTTACTTTAATTTTGTAAAAAATGAAATGCTACTCCAACTGGGTAATTTACAAGAACAGCTCAAAATGGCCTTTGCAGCTAACACAAATCCTACTTGGATTTGTGTTAGCTGGTGTACTTGGAAAAACACTCAACACTTAAAATAAAAAGCTTTGGTTTGTATGTGTTGGTAGCACAAGAGCTGAAAACAAACAGTGGTATCTTTTTGGTGGGAGGTTTAAAATTGGTTTACGATAATAATTTTTGGCTGGCCATATCTTGAAAATGAAGAAAATTTCGAAAAAACTTTATAGAGGAGTTTAGGCTTGTTTTTGACGTTACTATCCCTAAAATATTGACAATGTATATAATAATTTTTTAGATTATTTATGCTGATGTAATACTTTACCTATCCATATGCATATCCATAGTTTAGTATCTTTACTTGACATTGAGTCATAATGAAATAATTTCTGACAGTGTTGTTTTCATTTGCTGATGAAGAAGAGGTGAAGTAAGACAGTGCTTACATGGCATTCTACTTCTGAATTTCAGTTTTGCCAAATGATTCCATCGATTTCATCATGTATCAATATATTTTTTGTCGTAATTTGCTAAAATCTCCAATTTTAGAAATAAACCTTAACATTTAATAACACATTTAAGCAGATGGATAGAGGATGTGCAATCTAATAATTAGGTTTACACCCTAAAACTATTATAGCGGGATAGAGTGAAAAGTTATTTTAGAAGCTTGATCTCTGGGGGAGAAAGGACTCCAAGAAGAAAGATGGCTGACATTTATGCTCAAGATTCCAAGAATTAAGCTGGGAGAACAAAATGACTAAACATTCACAAATGAGATGCAAAGAAATCTCTAAGTAACTAACAGGAAGCTGAGAAGAACAGTTTGAGTTGGTAAACATGCTTGCAAAATGTGATAACAGTTAACAATGCTATCCAAAAAAATTCAAATAAGAAATATGTTAATTTAATAGTTTTTACTACTAACCTTAAGTAACAATTAACTTCTTAACAGTCTAAATTTCTGGAAAAGCTAAACTTTAACCATTGCCACATAGCATATATATACAAAATTTTTGCATCAAGTTCAATTCAAGTATGTAAACCCTTATTAACTTGTAGTAATAGGGGGTGAAGGCTGTCCTAGTCAGTGGGGTGTTTTCTCCAACGAAGTGAAACTGAGAATGTGGATATTGATTACAATGATTTATTACAAACAGCTCTACACAGAGATTTTACTAAGCTTACAGTTGGTTATACTGCCAAATTTATTATGTAAAATGAGCTTACAAAACTTTATGACAGTAAAGTATACTGCAATGTGCAGACTTCAGTAACTTATTGACTAAGTAATATAATGCAGTGTTGCAAAGACTTCCGAATATTGGAATATTACAGTATAATTTTTCAACAAAATTTGTCTGGGTTATGCAAAGTCCAAGTTAGTGGGGGTTTACTGTATAATTAATGTTCTATTTATGTGCTAAACAATTAAAAGTTAAACAATGTTCAAACAATATTCCACAAGACTGTTAATACAATATTAAAGTAAAATTCATTAAAGTATTTTTGTCTTTTCTAACATTGGACATTTCACCAGTAAATTTTAAATTACATTTACTTACTGTTGAAATCTCTAATGTTAGAGAAAGCAAAAACATATTTTGATAATACAAAAATAAAATAAAATTAATTTTGTGAAAAATTAAACAGCATTTTATATTGTTAAGATCACAAAAATCTATTCTATACTATACCATCGTCTCCTTTCCTAAGAGCACGGTCAATACAAAGGAATTGTCTTAACGGAATCTCTTGATGGTTATAGTACCAATCTTCTATTGTCTCTTCATGCATTTCTATTAAATTCTCACACTAAACAAAGATTAAATGATTACATACTTTGAAAATTATTAATGGCAGAATTAGTATATTTACCTGTGTTTTAAGATTCGTAACTTCTGCTGATGGTTTGTCCCATAAATCATATGGTATTCCCAAATCTACCTTCACACCTTTATCCCTATCAATTAATTAAATATTTAAACTTCATCCAATACATAATTATATATCTTAATATAATTCAATGGCATACGTACACGAGATCGTGTAATACTTTAAATGTTGTACTCATTCCTTTTGCAAATCGTGTACTGTCTTTCCTCTCTTTGTGAATGTTATAATCCAGTAACCTGTCGCATATTCCCTCTAAGGATTCTAGGAGTCGCAATTCTCTACAAAGAGATAATCAATGTTTTATCTTTAATTGTTGTACAGCTTTTTTAACAGTCTGATAAAGTAAATTGTTACATGTAAAGTCGGGATTTTGTTTTTGATTCTGCCCTGTAGGCACTAAGATGATCTGAAAAAGGTCCTGTCAGGTAATATATCCACATTGATAAAATTAAAAGTATTCAACTAAAATAGATTAATCTGATAATATAAAGCACACACTCTATTACCTAATTCAAGATAATGAAACAAATCTAAAATATTTATCTATTATATTCATTAATTTTAATGCACATTACTGAACAGTAATATTCCATTATATATGTTGTAAGACCGAATCTGTAAAGAGTAGTTTACACAATATGATTACTGCTGACATTTTGTTGCATCTAAAAAACACTCAAACATGATTTAATAGCCAATCAGATGTTTACAAAATGCACCAAAACACAACTTGCAATTCATCCTGAACATGAGCTAAGAGCATTTGTTTCTTTCAAGGTTGGCAAGAATGCAATCCAACACATGATTTCAATGTCGTCATGAATTGATTTGATGATAAAACAAGAGAAAAAATCTGACAGATTAGCTTTTCTACAATACAGTTGCAAGGTTGCCAACAAATTGTGAATTTGTTCAAACGTGCACACTGTGGTTTCAAGTGAAAATGTCGGCAATATTCGTAGTGTAAACCAGCCTTAAGTATTTTCAGATTCAGCCTTATAATGTTAGCTTAGTCTTAAGCATTTTCTCAAATGGTTATCATCAGGAATAGTGTCTTTTTATGAAAAAATATGTAAGTTTAACACTAAAATATGAATAATTTATACCATGTTGGTATTATCAAAAAATATAATTTCCTTTAAAATTAACATTTTTTTATACATTATAAGCATGAAAAAACTAGGAATATTTTCTTCTTTAAAGCCAGACTAAATTACATTTTCAAACAAAAACTGAAAAATAATATATAATGTTATATTTAATTTTCAGATTTAAAAAAAAATAAATTTAATTGAAAATTATATGAACATCTGATTTTATATAAATATAGAATAAATATTTACATTTATATAAAATCAAGCATTATTCTACACTAATAAATCATGCCTTGATTGATACAAATAAGTGGATAAAAGTAGGTAAAAGCAAGCTAAGAAACAAAACTCCAGTACAAAAGGAGGAACTGCAGAATACTCTGCATTCTATTCATCCCTGATTCAATTCACTATAAGCTTAAATTTCTCAACTGTATTGTTTAGAAAAGATTAATTATATTGTACAGAATAAAATTAGCTTACAATAGTGCATTTCACATTTATATGTCATTTTATGTTGGTATCAAATCATTCCTATTCTTTTCAATGGTAAAATATTTCATTTATTTGTCTAAATTCATTATGGAAATTCATTAATACATTGTTTCCTTTCTGATAAAAATACAGGGTGGGGCATAATGGAGACATTTACGAAGTGAATTAAAAAAAATGGTACAATAATATGGAAAAAGCTTTTTATTTAATCAAAGTACATGTAAGAAACTTATTTCTGGTTAGGTTTCAAAAATGATGTTGTCCAAATGTTGGCCATCACAGGCGATGCACATTTGGAGCCGTTCCTTGAAGTTTTCTTCAACTCTCTCCAGCATATCTGGAGGAATTTTGGCAATTTCCTCATGAATGGCCTCCATGAGTTCTTGTAGGGTTTGAGGGCAATGTTTAAAAACCTCTGCCTTGAGATACCCCCATAAGAAAAAGTCACAGGGGCTCAAATCAGAGGAGCAAGAGGGGGCCATTCAACGGCTTCTCGTAAAGAGATTAGTCAACCAGGAATCATCTGGGAGCATTTTTCTAAGCAGACACATTGGAAACTGCTCTATTGATGCTCTGAGTGTGGCGATGTTTGCAGGTGTCCTCATGGATTTGGGACATCCAACCAGCTTTTTAGGATTTGCAGATCCTGTTGCCCTTAAATTTTGGACCCATTTCAAAATCATTCTTTGATCAGGAACATTTTCCTTTGCATTTAAACAAAATTGTGTGCAAAATGCCCTCTGTGTCACAGTCACAGACTCTGCATTTTTGAAAAAAGCATCCACGATGAAGCCCTGTTGTTCATCTGACCACAGCATGTTGACTACTGACAACTTTCATTCATGCCACCTAGCAGGACAACATCATTTTTAAAACTTAACAAAAAAACCTTTTAATTCACCTTGTAAATGTGGTTGTTCCATTATGCCCCACCCTGTACATGTATGTACCATTTAACAATTGAGAGAGATCCTATAACGAAATTGAAAAACTCATAGCTACCTATATCTTTTCTATGTTTAGCTATATAAATACTCATCATTGTGTTACATATAGCCTATATAGACTATACATCTATATAGGCTACAAGAACTTTCTAAAATGCTGGTATAAAGTTTAGCTGGTACACTGAGAAATGAGATGCCTCTATAATTATTACATTCTGTTTTACTTTCTTTTTTTTATGAATTTGTGCAATTAAAGCTCTTACCCAATCCTCTGGGACCTTCCCTTCAGACCAACATCTTTGAATAATGTGATGTAACCACTGTTATTCCCCCATACTTTAGCATCTCTGGTCTGATATCATCCACACTGACAGCCTTTCCACATTTGATGTTTTTGATGGCCTTATCCACTTCTAAAACTGAAATAGGATCCAACACTTCCAAAATTTCTAGAACAAATTCTTCATCCCTCTTTTCACATTTCCAGAATTATAAGTTGCTCAACTTTCCTGGCAACATTTAAAATTTGGGTGGTACTGTCTCTTATCGTATTTTATTTAAAAAAACTTTTTATATTTTTAACTATTATAAAACGGCAAAAACCTTAATAATTTTGAGGGTAGGGATGGGTTTTATAAAAAATTGTAGGTGTTAATAACAAATAAAATCGTCATTAAGTCCAACCCTGTTGGAGATACACACAACCCCCATTATCTCCTACCCTCTTGACTTTTAACCACGAAAATTTAATAACATCGATCTCCCTAATAATGAAACCTTTCCACAAAATTTCAGAAATTTTTGACAAACAATAAAGGAGTTATTAAGCTTCAAAAAGGATGAACAAAATCGTGTCCCCCCACACACTAATATCAATACATACAAAAATTACCCTCAAATTTCTTTTGCAGCATTTTTTGACATTTTAAGGTGTCCTAAGTCAAAAATGAAAAATCTGGGTGAGTCATTTTTTGTTGGATTACCATACTTTCCCTCTGTTATAACAGCTGGAAAAGTAAAAATGTATTGGTATACTAGTTCTTGTGTAATGGGAAATATCCACAATGTCAGCTTAGAATTCCTGGAGTATACAAGATATCCCTACAAGATGAGAGATTTCACACTAGGCAAGAATACATAGGGGCAATTCCCTGCTCCCTCTTGGAACTATACAGACCTAGTCATGTATGCCACAGAAACAAAAAGTGAAGTATATCTTAAAGAAATCTGTTTTATATTGTTAAACCTTTAGCATAGAAGAGAGCTACCGTTCTTAATTGTTATTAAAATAGTATGAAAAGATTTTTTCTATTATATATGGTTCAAAACAAATATGAATAAGTATTAACAATTTTTTTAATATTAAAAGTTTATTTAAACCACATATAAAATTGCAAAGACATAATACAGAATTACTACCAAAATAGATTTTAAATTAAGTAATTTGTTAAATCAAAATAAAAATAGTTTTATATTGGTGAGACTGGAAGACTACTTAAAATATGATGTAAAGCAGGGATGGGCCCTCAGGCCACATGCGGCCTGCAGTAATATTTTTTGTGGCCCGCATAAAACATGAATAAATATATCAATTTCCCCTCTTAAGGAAGTATGCAGCAAAAATTCAAATGTTATTTTCTACAATTTATGTATGTGAATAACTTTTCTGCAATGAATTTAGTAAAAATTAAAACAAAAAACCAACTAACAGACACATCAAAACTAATTTAAAGCTAGCAGTGACTAATATTTAATCAAATATTTCCTATATATTCCATTTACATCGGTTCAGAAGCTAAATTAAGTATACCTATGCTAATTTATAATTATATATGAATAAATAATTNTACAATCTAAATCTCAATATTTAAATAACTAGCAAAAGTACTACTTTTAACAAAAAAATCCTGATTAAGGTGTTTATACCTTGTAGATAAACATTTATAATACATTTACATATAAAGACAAATGTTTAGTGCAAATAACAAATACGTAATTATTCCCAAGAAATCCGTTTCCTGTTGTTACCTGGAAATGTTAGTTTCTTCACGGCATAACTCTGAATCCACTAGAAAACTGAAAAATTAATGCTGTCGGGTGTACTTCGTTTGTGGAAAATTCTATTTCCAGAATTATCATAAAATTTTCTCACTTAAGCCACAAAACCACGTCAAGGTGACACCCACTTTGTGGTGGTTTTTTTTGTATCCAGAAACCAACCCTACTTGCTAGACAGCGTAGCAAGTAGAGAGAAAAACTGGATCGCGCGCGAAGTTCTCATAGGTAAAACGACCGATAATGACTTTTGTCCTCCTGTTTTCTCTTCCTATACCCATTCCAACCCAAAAAATACTCCGTCGATCTCATGATTTATGTTAAGTATTTTAAACCTTATAGTGTAAGCAAAAAATAGAAAACTTAAGCTATTAATTCTTATTATAATTTAGGACTATCACTCTAATCCTCTCCCAACTTTCCGTTAATTGCATTCGACCCAAGTTAAGACTAATTCATTTCACCTCATTGTATTTTGCGGATTTTATCTTTGTTCCCTAGAGGATCGATTTCGTTAATGATCCATTTTCCATTCCGATAACGACTTTCCTGAACCGCAGTTGGAAATTCCCACTAATATCAATCGCATCAATAAAACAGTAAAAATTGGATTTGCCACGAAAGGCTTTTTCCAGATTAAGTGTCCGACAACAGCTCTTTTGCGGTTCACGAGCAGCTAATGAGAAGTTCTATTAAAGCTTTACCTAGGAGCCAGGAAACAAATCGTTGTCTTCTGATTCATACCTATTTTGAAGTTCAGTTCATTCTGCTACTAGCACCATTGTATATGAGCTGGAAAATTGTCTCCTCGTCAGTTCACTCTGTATAGTGGCCAAGAACTGGGGTCTCAACCACGATGCACTTGGTCCCAACTACAATGTTGTCTTTATTCCAATCACCACATACGTTTCGACCATCTGTAGGTGTGGTAGCCAACAGTCTCGCCACATGCAACGGCTACAAAGTGCCCGAAGAATGGCATTTCTGTTTCTGCCTCAGTCATATTCAACAGCCTTAACTGTGTCCTTACATGTCTTGAGCAAAACTCTGCCAATTAATCGTTGTGTAGAATATGCTGGATCTCGCTATCTTGTTGCGAAAGGAAATGACATCACTCTCCCCTCCATTAACTTGAAACTAAAATTTGCTTCAATAAGCTTCCTCGTCCTACCTAAGATATAGGTTGCACCCTTCAAACGATGCAACAGATGAAATAGAATACACTGATGGTTCGAAGAAATTCACTGGAAGTGGTTCCGCATTTTGACTTATCTCAATGGAATAAAGATTCACCACGATCCTAGCACTTTACTTCGTAATTGCTCGCAACCGATTAAGCCATTCATAGATGCGAGGTAACACACTCAAAAAAGGAGTGGTAATCTTCTCTGAGAGATCGTCAGCCGTTTTCTCTTTCCAGAATAAGAACTGCTTACATTCACTCATCGGGAACATCCTAAACACCTGTATCTCATCACCAATCATTATTCCCTAACTGGCTGAGAGAACATTGTGGCAATCGGGGAAATGAGATAGTAGATGTTCTTGTTCAGGCTGTGGCAGGTCACGCAGGTCAGTCCCACAGATTACAATCATCCTGCCAGTCATATCAAACAACCGCTCTGAAGAGAAAAAAAGCGCACAAATCCGATTGATAGAAGAGATCATGTACTACAAACTCCTAAGTTGTTTCGGATTATCAGTCGTAGTGACAAACTTACGGCCATTCATTTCATTTCTAATACAGTACTTCCTAATAATGTCAAATTTATTGTTAATACTCAAACTATTTTCAGAAGTATCACCAACTCTTATAATTGATTTCCTCGCAGTTCTTAGGCTAAACTGAAATTTTTGGAAACGGAGAGAGTGGACGTGAAGACAAAGATACAACCTCTTTAATTTGTAAAATTTTTTCACAAAGTTTTCAAAAATCTATAAGTACGATGATAGTATATTCTTATAGCTTATCTCTATAAAAGATCGGATGAAGGAAATTATAGAAAAAATTAACTACGAATTCAACCGTAGAATACACCAGCACAAACCGAACTATCTTTCTCCCAAGTAACACCTGATCTTGTCTGCTTACGTAACTAATGAACAGTGTCTTGTACTGGATGCTTTCATTTTTACGTTACTGGCACAAAAGTGCTAAGAAAAGATGTCTCCTGAATGGGGAGCTAGGTTCCATACAACACAATTCTTCACTTTCATCTGCAAAATTTTGTTTGACCTGAAAAATATCCGCTGCCATCCGTAACTTAATTGGGACTCATAGCGCTTCCATTCGCTCCAAAGGAGAACGTCGTCATGCAATCAACTACCAACCCATCAAAACTTTTACAATAATCCCGAACCATCACTCCATTCATATTGTGACCGTTAAGTAATGTTGGTCACTTTCCTCAGGAAATAAATGACATTAATACCAAGCCCGAATACATAATACCTTACCTGAAATCTAAAGACAGCAACCCGTCAAAGTATATAACAGGATTGTCTTGTTTTACATTTTCACCCTTAGAATTTTTCTAGTTAACAAAAGACAAAATGTTGAAATATTGCCACTGCATTTGCTCTCCGACAAGTCGAAATTGTTGTCCACATTTTTACCTATCTATTAAAAATAGAATATTACAATTTTCTAGATAAAACATTGCAAAAATACCACAAATAAGTAGTCTAAAATAGTTTATTTTAATGTACTAACTGGAAATACTCGGAATTTGACCTGCCCTTTGAGGCCGATCCTCTGGTGAATAGACGGAGTTAGTTTCGCGGGACGACGTATTTTCTCTCTTTCCAAATTCCTTTTACCTTTCACCTATCTTCTCAATTTATCTCTTCAAGTCATACCGCAGATTAAAGCCAGTTTCTTTTGTATTTTTTCTCTCTTTGAGAGAGTAATTATCATTACAATCCGAAAATTTTATTTGCAAACATTAATTGTCCGCAAACAATCACAATAATAATATTTTGTTGTTACGGAAGGCAATACTTTTCCATTATTTCGATCTCTTCTATGAAATTAACGTTTTATGCCATTTAAGCTTTTCTTGCAATTGGACATTTTTTTTATTACAAAAATAATTAATGCAGAAAAAATCATTCGTTGTTCGTTTGAATCAAACATGACTACAATTAAATTAATGTACAGTACATTCTTATGACGTATCCTGTGTACCGAAACCGTTTGAACTCTTGAGTTTATTAACTCATCTGGATTATTCTATAAGATATTTTATTCGTTATTAGCATTCACAAAGTTCGACCACACTGGATATGACACGACCCCTTGTCTCTACCGTCATTAAGGATCAAAATTTAATAGCATTAATGCCCTTTACACGCATGCTAGTGCCAAATTTTGTTTCTTAAACCTCACTCATTCTAAACAATATTTCACAATAAAGAAAAACAAATTAGACGCCAACATACGCGCACACGAATTTTTCCTTTGACATTTTTTGAGTTAGAGATCGCCAAACGTATAATTTGCAAAAAACGCGGAGGGTCAAATGTGACACGATTCACTTCGGTTTTTTTATATACATAACAAGTTGGGAAAGTAAAAAGGAGTCTGAATCCAGGGAATTTTTGACGACTCCGACTCCACAGCCGATTCTAACAATACTTTTCAGTGCGTTGTGGCTGTGTGAGGAAAATCTTAACAGAATATTTCGGCCAGCTCGGTTGTTTATCAATTTATATATGCATTTTCATAATAAAAATACATATTTTCCTTAGAAATAATTCGCAGTACACTAAAACGGAATACGATCGTATTCCACCATTTAAAGTTCTCCTTAAACACGGGCATTACCTTAGCTGTACCACAAAGAACCCATTAGCAAACCAAAACTACTACCGTGTTTCCCGGAAAATAAGACTGTCTTATATTAATTTTTGCTCTGAAAAATGCGCTAGGTCTTATTTTCAGGGAATGTCTTATTTGTTCCAGAAAGAAGAATTCACATTTATTATTGAACAAAAAAATTCCCAAGTCGAACTTAGACGAGAGTGACGTATATCCGGTGTCGAACTGTCGCCTTTTTATAGCGTCAACATCGGACTCTATGACCAATTAGTGCTTACTGAACCGTAGCACTATGCAAATGTGATGTGGCGTGTTCCCGGCCGACCAATTAGCCATCACCAGCCGTAACGTTATGCAAATCTGTGATTCCCAAGCCATAGTCTTATGCAAATCACGCCGTGTGGCGTAATTGTCTACTAACCAATCAGTGGCTGTACTTTCAAAAAGCCAACGGCCACTTTCAAACATCTGTCGATGACCGTTACGACTAAAAAATACTTCGCTAGGTCTTACTTTCAGGGGGAGGTCTTAAATTTTGCAATTCAGCAAAATCTGTGCTAGGTCTTATTTTCGGGGAAACACGGTATTAAATATGGGATGCCTCGATACTGGGTCAGTAATAGTATTACCACTACTATTGACGTAGTACCGAGGCATACCATATTTCTAGTCCATACTAAAACGAGACCCTAATCTTTGAAATTCTCGTTGGTAAACGTTATATTTGAATTTAAAATGGAGTTAAAACCGAAATCCAAAATACATTCTTTGTATTTATTCTTTACATTCTTGTAATTCTTTTTGTATATTGTAAAAACTAACCAGTTTAATATTTGTTTTAGTCATTACCGACCAAAGTACAGAGTGATTTGAGAGCCACAGAAATTAATTCACTTTGATACTTTATTTTTAACACAGTCCAGAACCTCCTAGATACACAGATTGCAAAAAACTTATTCTAGACCCTGGAGTTCACGTTGGATGTGTTCCCATCTGGCTAGGGGACCGTGATTGTTTCGATAGTGACAGTAACATCCATCGGGTTTCAGCCTTCCGTCGGCTCTCATCTTCTCGTAGTCTTCCAGATCCCACTTGGTGAAACCCCACTTCTTGGATACGGCAATCTTAAAACACCCAAAAGTATTAATTTTCTAACAAAATACACAACCCGTTTGTAAAATGATCTAAAGAACAACCTTTTGACGGCCGGGGAATTTAAATTTGGCTCTCCTGAGTGCTTCGATGACATTCTCCTTGTGGGCTTCCTTGGCCCGAACGGACATGATCATCTGTCCGATGTGAACGCGAGCCACTGTTCCCTGCGGTTTCCCAAAGGCACCGCGCATCCCGGTCTGCAATCTGTGATAGACAAATTAAAAATAATCATCATCAAACAGAACTACACCGTTCTATACATAATTAGTAGAAAAACAATCTCATTCCAACACATACATACATAATCTGAACTAAAACGCTTTGTTCAAATAAAAATAAAATGTTTCACTCTCTTAATGAAAATTATTGTAAAATACAATAAACAAGTACACTATTTTTGCACTCTGAATGAAGCACTTCAATTTGATCCTAAGAAATGAATGATATAGTGCAATTTAGGACTTAACAAATACATGTGATTTTTCATATTTTATGATCACAGATAAGAAAACAGCATTCATTCACAATGAATGAATCTGTCAACCAATCTGCTAACTTTCTTTAGCACCTATCTGCCACAAAGTAATACAATATGTACTTTGTATGCATTACGTGCAGAATTCCCACTAGCTTGACATGTAATCATTCATCAACTCACCACGACACTGTTTCACAAATGTTAACACGATCATATGGATACAAGTTAATGGGAAAAAATCAACCCTTAGGAACAGAAATTTGGCTATATGCCATTTTCCTCCAATTTCTATCAGCACTCCCCAAAAAGTTCTTTTGCCCTGCCATTTATTTCAATGACAAACAAGTAAATTTTCCCCAACAAAGGACATCCTTTGCATATATTAAAAGAACACTTAAAACTTACATTTTAAGGCATATATTCTATATTAACTGGGCAAGTTTATCAGTTAGAAAGCCACTTCTATCATGGCAACTAAACGAATTCACAATTTCAGATAACCATTCAATAAAGATGCCAAATGGCATAAGAGGGTGGACCCTCTTTTATTAATTTTGTAAATTTGAATTTTTAAATACAATATAATATCTGAATACACCAGTAGCTTTAAGAACTAATAAGCTTTTACATCCTCAGCTTTCTTAAAGTTTATTTTAATCAAAAGTATTCGAAATTCATTTGCAACAACCAGACTGGATTAAAAAGAATTATTTTTGAAGTCACATCTTAAGTAACTTTGAACCTCATGACTAATAATTGTGGTTTGTTTCTTAATTAAAACTATCAACTAGTTTAACAATATATACTGTATACACATACCAAACAGATTCCAAGCAGTTCTCACTAAATTTATCATGTTATAGTGAAAATCTCCATTACTTCCATATTAAATAGTGATATTTTAATTGAAAGGTTTTGTTATAGTTTTAGCCAATGTATTATAATTTTATCATTTCTTGATAATTTATAGTAACAATATTTAAATTATGTTCCAAGTTGTTAATTATGGTAATTTTAAAACCAGCAGCGTTTTAGTACTAAAATTATCTATTGTTTTCTTACCTACTTCTCAATTTTACTTTAAATTATTTTAACAGTTTACATTAAATATAAACTGCCCACAAAATAATAAACAGCAGCAAGCTGCTGTTCAACTACGCATTCTTCAAGCATTGTCAACATTTTGAAACTGAGCTGAACATGTATATATGACACTTAAAGCTACTACCCCTATCAAGGCCCATCACTTTCCCTCATGTAAATTAATATAATGCATGTAATTTAAGAGATTAAATGTTAAGAATGAAATTACAGTACATTTCATTTAAAACAGTGATTCTCAAACTTTTTCGATCCACCGCCCCCTTTGTTCCATAAAGTTATACCCAACGCCCCCTAACCCATTCTCTCGTGTGTGAGAAAAGGATTGGAAATATTCTTAGGAAAACTTTTCTATGAATCTCACACTTTGTGCCCTTACTGTACATTGTTCTCATCATCTGGAAACCATTAAATGNTATATGAATAAATAATTTTGATTTACCTATATTTTTTCCCTCTTTTCTCTTGTATGCGACCCGCGTCAGTTCAAAAGTTTTGAAATGCGGCCCTTACATAGAAAAAGGTTGCTCATCCCTGATTTAAAGTATATATAGCCCCTTCCAGATTAAAAAATATAAATTCTGCCATACATTTACATACATTAAATCATAAATAGATAATAGAATTTACATGAAACATATTTATTAGTAGATGTCAATACCTGCTTCATGACTGAGTCTTATATAAAAATAGTTTGTTATATACAGTAGCTTTAGATTTCATGACATATACAGCATATGTTTTGGTAATTTAAAAAAAAGAAGAGTTTACAAGTATTTATTTGTATATCAAATTCAATGAAAAAATTTTACTGTAGTATTCAATTTTAGAAATGTTTTAAAATTTTTTTCAGTTTTCCACTCTTTCCACTCATGGCTTCTAAGAGTGGCTTTTTCCCTACCCATTGTAAGTTTGACAAGCCAATCAGTGTGAGTGGGTGGTAAGGAACAAGATCCAACGTATCCAAGACAGACCACCCTTGAAAAATTCTTGGAGTTGTTCACTTGGGTTCAATCAAAGGATCCCAGAGCTGATGTCACCATCCTGCCACCTGGTCATCTATGTTTTGAATTTGTAAATCATAGTTGAAGTGAAAATAATTATGTCAGAACGTTCAGTAACTATGAAATTGTAAAACTTGTATTTATATACTAGTTTTGATTACAAACTTTTATTTAAATTTAGTCTGAAGTGATATTATCTATTACATTTATATAGGATAAAAATCTATATATATATATAAATTTACATGTCCTGACTGACTGAATGATTCATCATTGCCCACAGCAAGCCATTGAACCTAGAGGAGAAATTTGGTACACAGGGTATGTCATGAAAATGCACACTAAGAAGGGATTTTTGGAAATTCCCCTACGGGGAGAGAGGGAGAGGATTAAGACTTAACCTGAGGAATGGCTTCTACTGTACTATTTTAGATGTGATTTTTTGTTTTTGATAGTAATAACTTAACTTCCAAACGTACAATATTTACCAAATCATCCAAATCGTTTGCCTGAACAACGCCACACTCATTTGCTAGTTTATTATAAATGGATATAGTTATTAAATATGCTATTTTATAGGAGAATATTGAGATGGACAAGAGCACCAAATTAAAAAGGTCAACTCTACTGACCTTTAATTTATTAATAAACCTGAGGCTTACTTAATCCTGAAGTTTAAAAGTGGATGAATTACAAAACGATTTACATTTTTTAATATTTCTTCTAAACTTTTGTAGAACTTTTACTAGTTACCATTCTGGTTTAATATATTTTTGTCAATATAAAATATAGCAAGCTTTATTTCTTGATTATAGTTTTACTTTTTAAAAGAATATCTAAACCAAAAGCTTTAGGTTAGCCCTATTAACCAAAAAATATTATTTTTAATTTTTTAAATAACTATTTTCAATTAAACTTTAGCAAATAATTAGAAGAAAAAACTTACAAATTAGAACATTAAATTCTACACTACTCAATTATTAAAAAGAAGAAAAACAAAATATTTATTTAATTAAATACTAAAAACACTAGTTTTTAATTTATCAATTTAATTATCCAGGAATACTTAATACTTATATAACGATTTAAAACAAAAGTGAAAGTTTATAACTTCCTTTCCTTTGTGTAACTATTGTTAATACTCACGTATTAGTATATTTTATTTTCTTTTTAGCCTTATCGTCCAGGCCGTAACCGATTTCAATAACGTCATGGGTCTTTCCAGTTTCTTTCAACCTGTTTTCTAATTCCACGACGACATATTTACAGACTGAAAAATAAAAGATAACTTATCAACTTAAATATTTATATGCAAATAAAATAATTTATTTTGCCCATTAAAATATAAAATAATTCTATCATATCTGTTTTCAAACAGATTACGATAATATTTAATTTTATATTAAATGTATTTATTTTGACAAAGATCTGTCAAATATTTTATGCCGATAGTTTCAAATATTGTGATTTATAAACTTTATTTGAAATTATTAACCCACATGATTTGACAATTATAAGTGAATATTTTGATAAAGTATAATAAAATTTGATTAGGAAGTTAATTTTAATGTTTAAACTTTATCACTGTAGAGGAAATGCATGATAGAAGTTAATGGTTTGAAATATGAAATTTGTTTTATGGTAAGATTGGATAGAAGTTACTTTTATCTCATGTATTTACATTATATACAATATATGTGTGTGTGTTGTATATTGTACATTTAAATGCCTAAGTTATCTTTAGGCATTTAAATATTACCTTTATATATGGTACCATTACCATTTCATATATGTAATGGTAATGGTACCATGTATAACTCTACATATTACCATTACATATATGTAAATCTTACCTATATGTAATGATAATCTACATATATGCTATTATTATAATAACATATATGTAGTATATACATATATGTAGAGGACAGCCTACATTTAACAACCATTTATACTTATTTTTAAAAAGAACATAACTAATAAAAGTTGTACCTTCACAGCTTGAAGCATATTTCACTCCATATTCTTCTTCTTCAATACTTTCTTCACCAATAACACTTCCAATAAATAAAAAAAAACAACAAACTAACCGACTGATTTCCATTTTTAAGAAGTTACAGCATATAAAACTAATTAAACACAAAGGGTATGTTAAAATGTTATAAAGTTAACATCTCATCTTGTCAATGTTTACCCATCTGATTACATTTCCTCTCTCGATACATGTGATAGTCAGTTTGAACGAGAGTATTATAACGTAACGTCCTATTGGCTGGAGTGTACATATTGTTAAAACTGCCAACCAATAGGATTACGGTTGTTTCATGTACATCCGGATTAGACGAGCGCGCGTTTGTACACGTTACATTAATAATTTAATTATGGCGTATTATCGATAGCAAAATTTAAATCGAGATTATAATTGGAAATTAAGTTCTTAATATTAAATTTATATTAAATTAATTTTCTAAAATAAAAATATATCAATAATCGAATTAGACTGTGTTTAAATATACTGTTTTGTCTAAGCAGTTATTAAAGGTTTTTTTTTTTCTCTCTACGCCTTTTTAAGCACTACATGGCCTTATTTTTAGCAAGCCCATTATGGATTCTGCCAAGACCACAAAGAGGCACAATATATCCAGACGGAAAATTAATGGGGTATTTTCGACCCGTCCGGATTCAATTCCGAACACGTGCGATTAAATATCNTGAGAAACGCTGATTTAAAACTATGCTGTTCATTTCAAGACCAACAGTTATTCATTCTGTTGAACTAACTTTATTTGTATATTAGATCTTTCAATTTCTGCTAAACTTCTACTTAAATACAGATTAAAACCTAATTATCTTAATAAAAAAAAATCAAATACTAAAATTAATTAGTCATAAGATGAACGAAAACTAGTGGAAAAAGTGTAGGGTTTGTATAATAACCCAAATGGTAGATTCATGATTTTGTATAATCTGGTTTGTTATTAATTAAAGAACAGCTGATTTGCTTTAATGTTTCATACTTGACAAAAGAATAGATCATTTTTATAGAGAAACAATGAGCAAATATTTTGATTATTTTCATTTAAAAATATAACTAAGATAAGAACAAGAAAAATTGCTTTTAATGAAATAATACAGTAGAGCGTCGTTTATCCGAAAGAATTCCAGTCAGCAAATTTAAATTCTCTCTAGTACTGTGGCGCTGCAATCTTTGGCTACTCCAATATTTTTTATGTTTGTGTATGCGTTTTAGCTGGCAGCACTGGCACTTTTGTGTGGTGTTTTTCTGAGCAGTGTGTGTCACCGAATCAAACGTTTTTGATACTAAATTAACTTCTGAAGTTTTTTTTGTTTTTTCAATATATTTATTTTGTTTGTACAAAATAAAGAAATAATTTTTAACAATACANTGAGAAACGCTGATTTAAAACTATGCTGTTCATTTCAAGACCAACAGTTATTCATTCTGTTGAACTAACTTTATTTGTATATTAGATCTTTCAATTTCTGCTAAACTTCTACTTAAATACAGATTAAAACCTAATTATCTTAATAAAAAAAAATCAAATACTAAAATTAATTAGTCATAAGATGAACGAAAACTAGTGGAAAAAGTGTAGGGTTTGTATAATAACCCAAATGGTAGATTCATGATTTTGTATAATCTGGTTTGTTATTAATTAAAGAACAGCTGATTTGCTTTAATGTTTCATACTTGACAAAAGAATAGATCATTTTTATAGAGAAACAATGAGCAAATATTTTGATTATTTTCATTTAAAAATATAACTAAGATAAGAACAAGAAAAATTGTTTTTAATGAAATAATACAGTAGAGCGTCGTTTATCCGAAAGAATTCCAGTCAGCAAATTTAAATTCTCTCTAGTACTGTGGCACTGCAATCTTTGGCTACTCCAATATTTTTTATGTTTGTGTATGCGTTTTAGCTGGCAGCACTGGCACTTTTGTGTGGTGTTTTTCTGAGCAGTGTGTGTCACCGAATCAAACGTTTTTGATACTAGATTAACTCCTAAAGTTTTTTTTTTTGTTTTTATATTTTCAATATATTTATTTTGTTTGTAAAAACTAAAGAAATAATTTTTAACAATACAATAGCCACGATTATTATTTTAAAAAGTTTACGTTAGGCTTAACATCGATGAAAATTCAATGCGAAGTGACACGCAACGGAGAAAAATTTCAACATGGGGTAGGTTAATATATTTTTTCGTACACAATCGGTTATCTGAACAACCCCAGTCCCCAATTGATTTGGATAAACGACGCTCTACCGTAATTAAAAAGAAACATTGAAATGTTCTCTGATAACTTGGAAACACCACAGTTATGTAACATCTACTGCTTACACATCATTAATACCACCTATTTTAAATTTGATTAATTACAGTCGACCCCCCTATAACACTTTTGATTATTCCGTTTTATATGAATTCCGTGTTGTACGAGTCACTTAGATTTTACAAATACATGAGCCATTCACAGCCCGGTACACATATTTGTAAAATCTAAGTGACTCGTACAACACGGAATTCATACAAAACGGAATAATCAACAGTGTTATAGGGGGATCGAATGTATTTTTGACGTAAAATTTTCAAAATCTATATTTCATATCAATTTCTAAGTTATTCTACTCGACATAATAATGATGTCAAAATCACTATGGCAACAGTTGTTCTCGAGCTTTCACTCCAAACAACAAGAAAATTGTGTGTGTTCCTGAAAATAAGTTGTTAAGCTTAAAGCACTTGAACATTTTACTTTTCTGTATTTGTTACTTCAATAAAAGCAATACTTTCTCTTTTATATTTTGTTTACATGGCTACTCAATTGTGGCACCCTGATAGTACTTTTGATTATCATTCATCATGTAATTTGTCAAACATTTCTATAACCAAAATACAATGATATAATCTATTGTTTCTCTCTGAAATATTCTTGCTATATAACTTTATAAATACTTAAAATTTTGTACAAAAAAATGTTTCCATTTTTTTCTGACTGTATATAGCAAGAATAAGTATTCAGTTTACTCATCTGAGGAAAATATTTCTGAATTTTCATTATATTATATATTTCTACTTGCTATTAAATTTTAACACCAGAAGAGAGTATTATTAGCCATCAACAGATTAATATCAGATTATTGATCCAAACTCTCACCATAATTAATCGGGATATTATGATACAATTAATTAAGGATGCACCAATAAGTGAAATGGCCGATTACTGCTAATAGTTAATTATATTATGATTATTATTGCATTAAATTATATATTCGTAATAAAAACAAATTTTCATACGATAAAAATAATTTTATAACAACTTGTTATAAAAATAATTTTCAACGTAAAGCTATTTTTTTTTTCCTTTTTCAGATTCATGTATTAAATTAAAGTGATAAATTATTGTTTCGATAAACTTTTTAATTTTAATTAATTGTATTGCTTGGAAATTTTTAAAGAAAGATGAAAACAAGAAGTTATTCAAGTGCAATTTATGCCAGTCTTTTATTTTGAGATGGAAAAAATGCCATCATGAAATTTTTTTAAAAATAAAACTTAAAAGATGAAAAGAGAAAGTTCTGGAACGAAAGAAGCTGGATGTTCACAAGTAACAACGGAAACTCATATCCAAAGACAAGCATGGTTGTCATCCTCATTAGATCAAAGATTCAAAATTAAGTTTAAAAAAAAAAGTTGATAAATATAATATCAAATTACAGTGATACCTCGGTATACGTCTGCTTTAGAATATGTTCAATTCAGAATATGTGCTGTTTGGACAAAACAAATTTTGCTCAGTATACGATTTTTGTTCGGTATACGACTTAATTCAATTATACGCGCCATCTATGAGCAAGTAGCACTATCGATGTATTAGACCAGACTAGACGTTTGCAGTGCCACAGTTTATAACTTTGTTAAATTTCTTCTGATTTTAATTTGTAAGTAAAATTTTATTATTTTTATTAATCATGAATTGCAAAAAGGCAACAGAAAAAAAAAAGACTAGAATCACAAAGGAACTGAAAAAAGAGATTGTTGAGAAATATGAAGGTGGCATGCATGTTCGAGATTTAACTGTTGCATACCGCACTCTGAGAACGATGATGTCGACAATCATGAAAAATAAAGACATTATTAAATTTGCTAACATTGCAAAAGGAGTTAAATCAATTTCTAAAGAGATCGAAGACATTAGATCATGTTGAGAAATTGCTTTTGCTTTGGATAACTGAAAAACAGTGTGCTGACGACAGCGTATCAGAAGCAATTATTTGCAGGAAAGCTAAAAAGATACATGCTGATCTCACGAAAAATCAAGCAGGAACTAGCCAGGAAAACGAGGTGTTTCAAGCCAGCCATTTTTTCTACATGAGAACGGATTAATCATTTTTACATTACTTCTTATGGGAAAGGTTGGTTTGGTATATGTCCTATTCGGTATAAGTCCAAACATCAGGAACGGATTAAGGTCGTATACCGAGGTTCCACTGTATACTAGTTTACTCAACAACCATAAATCCATTAAATACTATATGTTTAAACTGAATTTTCTTAAAAAAAAACTATAATCCTATTTACCTATCAGCACCTGCACATGACAACATCTTATTTATACGAATAACGTGGAAAGGATGAAGCCGCATTCTCAAGTGAAAAGCATCTTTGCCGCAAGTCTTCACAAGATATTTATTGGCGCAGATACGTCCCGCTTCCAAAGCCTCCGAGGATATCTGCTCAAATTCTCGAGATACTAGATGAACACACAACGGAAATTCATCTACTTTAGCTTTCTTTCTTCCCAAATCAAAAATACGAATCTTCGGATCTAAAAAGTAAATTGCCAATTAGATGAACACTTTCAAATATTTTTGGAATTTTCTACCTCAAACAACAACATAAAGCAATACTTACCAGGAACACCACGACAGAAACGAGATTTTGGATACGGCTTATTCTTACAGTAACGATAACTGTGCATAAATAAAATTGTATTTTAAAAACAATTTATTAAAATTTCTTGTTTATAACTTTTTATTCAAGTCTATATTCTTAGATTATTCATATTTTATTTAACATTTTCTTGTTCAGTAATTATATAGATTAGGGGAATATGCTTTTTTTTTTCTTATTTTAAAAAGGAGGCATATTTAATACATTTAGAAAACAGAAATTGTCCAGAAAATATAGTTTTTCTAGACAATTTCTAAATGTTTAATAATAAATAAGCCTCCTTAAAAAAATAATTCCCCTAATAGAACATAGATTAAGTTCTCATGTTTTATTTTGCTTTTCTTTACATCAATAGAACATGTATACTGTTATATATTAATAAAACTGCATGCAATCTGGCCAAAAAATAATAGTTACAGAAAACACTTTCATTTGATTGTACTGTATTTTATTTATACATTTTTACAAAATTTACAAAGATCAAACAAATTATTTAGTTAAAATTACTTATCTAAGACAAAGAAACAATTCTAACAAGAGATTTCTAGGAGAAACCCAATTACTTAAACACACAAACAAAAACTTCTCATTTAATCAGATAAATATAAACACTACTTTAAGAGAAAAACTAGTAAATTGATAATTAAAAAGAAAAATGGAATGGAAGTTTAGTACATAGTTAATTTCAATCATGAGAATATGCTGTACCAAGCCCGACATATACAAGAATTTCATATCACATGTATACGATATGAAATTATTGTCATCATTTTTAACTGAAATTACTTTCTTAATTATTAATTCTTTCAATGAAGCAGGAATTCACTATTTAAAAAACAAGTTTTCCTAGTTAAACTTATCTGTATAATCAGTGTTAAAGCTATCCGGTTAAAGAAATATAATTAAGAAAAATCACTGTGACAAAGATTAGAATTCATCATTTTTTAAAATATTTTAATTACTCTTAACTTCAAGAAATAAAGCTAACATTTTACAATAAACGTTTCATTACTAACTGTATAAATGACTAATATGATCATATCGTCCTGTACATCATTTGTTTCTTTTGTGATTATTAGTATTAGTAGTGTTGAGTTTTAATGTTTCTTTTAAACAAAATAAATTATTCAGCTCTTAAAAATTCAACTCTTAAATTCAATCCTCTGGAATTCATAAATGTAAAGTTGTAGTTTCTTGGATTACACTATCAATTCCTAAATATTTTTTTGTGTTTTAGGCTAACCTAAAAAAAGATATTTTGATCTTGTTTTCAATAGATGATTCATAGTTTAAAATAAAGTGTGAATCATGTTATTTTTATCTAAAAAAGTGAAAGGAAACTAATTTTATCTATGTTACAATATAATCTAAAATAAATAAATATATATTGCAACAACCTGAAGATGTTAAAATTACAATTAGAAACCATGAGTAATAACTGTTTGTCAATACCATATTTTCTAAATATATGTAGTTGTTTTAAATATTCAAATTGAAACATGTAAATAATAATCAATACTGTACCAAGATAACGTTTGTTGACCTATTTCTAATAATAAAAATCAGATGTACTAGTACATTATTGTGACATCACAATGCAGAGTTGCAAGTTTTAATCATCTTTTAATTTAAAAAAAAAATCATGTAACTTCTGGTCTATCAGAAGTTTGTATATAGTTAATAGGGGTCTCTGACTTCTAAACCTTTCATATCCGGTCTCAATTTTCATCTAAATCTGTTCTCGACATTAATAAAGGACAAACGACAATATATAGGTTCATAAGAAATCACACCATTTTCAGTTATCTTATAATGGAAAAAATATATTGTTTTATTACAACTTGTTATAAAATAGAATTAGCACAATTCCATCAAGATATTCTATACTGAAAAATATTTCACAAGATACAGCAACAAACTACTAAGATGTCCAAAACATTTAAATTTTATGTAAATACTGTATTAAAAGAAAAAAATTTAATAGTTTTAATGATTACTGTTTAATTAATACTTCTTAACAATTATTATAAGGACAAAAAACTTCACTTTTCTCAAATTTTCCTCTTAGAAGTGCTATTTTTAAACTTTACTATAACAATTAAAAAATGTTACTTTTACATAATTAAAATACAGTAAAACCTCTTTGAAATCCAGAAAAACTGTCATCTCAGGAGATCTTGTCAAAGAGTAACAAAAATATAATGGATACAGAGTGCCGAATATGATACAAAGGCAAATAGTATACTGTACACCAGGGGTGTCAAACTGGCAGTCCACATGAAGCCCCCCAATGTGATTTTTCTCTAAAATTAAATAAAATGGCTTACAGGTCAAGATTAACTGATAAACATCTATCTGCCATAATGAAGATTGTTATAAACAATCATCATCACTAAACTGACATATTTTATAGCTGCAACTGCCAAATATTATCGGGCTAGAAATGGTTATAATAATAATAATTTATAAGACAATTCAGCACTAGAGTTAGGCATTAGGTGTCATCTCTTGATAAATTTAATAATTTTACACTACCCAGACCTCCGATCCGATCTCATCTTCCAGTATATATAAGCTTATGTGGGCACTGGATGTGTCCCCAACTGGCATTGTAATAACCATCGATGGTTATAAGCTTACATATACTGGAAGAGATTAGGCCGGAGGTCTGGGTAGTGCAACGCATCTACACGGTAAGCAGGAGCTGTGGGTTTGAGTCCCGCTTCAGACAGTTTCTTTTCTTCCAGTAGTTCTAAATTATTTAATTAAAATTATCAAGAGAAAGTGCCTAACACCTAACTCTAGTGCCAAATTGTCTTATAAATGATTAATATTATAGCCATTTCTAGCCCTATAATATTTGGTATTGGTTGGTGTATAGCTTAAAGATTGTTGTCAGTCTTTGAATCCAGATATTGGCCAATATCTGGATTCAAAGACCGAGGAAGAAGATAGCACTAGTAAGTTTCCAGTAAAAACAATTATTTTATTAATGTACATATTTATAAAACTAAAATTAAATGTTTAAATAAAAGCAATAATATATTGTTGAGTTGAATTCACTGAACTACATAATGTGTTTTAATTGCCCTATCCTATATATCCCTGCATTCCCAGTTCAAATTATAATTTTAAGAAAATTTGTAAATGTGATGTGGCTTGCAAATCTTACCAGTCACATTAATGGCCCATTGTTTAAATGAGTTTGACACACCTGCTGTACACAGTAGAACTCCAATTATCCAAATGGATTCATTCTGCAGGCGATTCAGATAATCAAAATTTCAAGTAAGTGGATTAACATGTAAATAATGAAATTACAGGTTAGCAGCACAGTACAGTGTCGATTTTCCGAAAGTCAATCATCCGAAAGAATTCCAGTCGGCAAATTTAAATTTTCGCCAGTGCTGTGGCACTTCAATCTTTGGCTGTGTCTTGGGCTACTCAAATATTTTACGTTTTTGATACTAAATTAAAATCTGAATTATAATTCTTAACGATACAATAGTCTTTGTTAGGCTTAACATCGACGAAAATTCAATGCGAAGCGACACACAACGAGGAAAAATTTAGACATCGGATACGTTAAACTATTTTTTCGTACGTAAATCAGTTATCCGGACAACACCAGTCCACAATTGATTCGGAAAATCGACGCTCTACTATAGCATCTTATTGATCATTTGATTCTATTGCAGCAAAAAGAGTTGCAGTATGATGCCAGTTTGAGAAAGAAAGGAAGTTAAGTGGAAGTATGGATAACAACATTTGGTTAATTGGTGTTCAGATAAATCAGAATTCTACTGTAATTCCAGCATAATACTACAAGGCTAATGTAAAGGCAATACAGAAAAAAACTATTTAAAAATGCTATACATTGATTAATACTATACCGCAAGAAAATTCATCATGTAATTCTGTGAATCTCACTGGTGGGCTCAGGGCTGGATTTACATAGGGGCATTTGGAGCTGGTGCCCAGGGCACCACATCATTTAAATATAATTTTTTAAAAATATTACCAGAACAGCCTAGTGTGGCCTAATCATGAGAGCCACAGGCAGAGAAATCCAAACCCAGGAAAAAACCTACGAAACATATCAGAAAATTCCAGAAAAAATTTTTACATAGGTATTTTTAAATTAAATTAAAATAATTAGTTTTACACAATAAAATATATATGTATGTTTACAATAACCTTATTTTAAAATGAAATTTACAACTTCCTAGTTGAAATCTTTATAACACTTGAAATAGCACATGATAGTTTATACAAGTTCATGCAAGTTTGATGCAGACAAGACCGCTCTAGCACCACCTACTATGTAGTTAAATAGAATATACTGTACCGTACATCTACGCTCTTACGAGCTTGTATTGACATTGTGAGCTGTTAATATTGTTTTCTTTATACATTTTTTTGCACAGGAGTTTATAAAAGTATGGTGTAAAAGTGTACAGTGAATGAAAAAGAAAATGAATCAACAAGGTGATAGGCACAGAAGTAAACGGATATATTCAAGCGGCAGTGCTAAACGTCAGGCAGTGGCTGATAAACAACAACAAAAAGAAAGATTCCTTCAAAAGCATGTCATATGTCCGATTTTTTAACACCTCGAAGCAAATTGCAAAATTCTCTGTCACCTTTAGCTAATGAAAATGATGTAAACAATGAAACAATATCAACAGAACAAGAGCACAAAGTAAGTTACTATATCAATTTACCTAGAATACAGTAAATGTTAGAGGTCGGTTCCTCCACTCTCATTTCTCTCCCAAACTGTATTCTAGGTAATGTATCCTTACAAAACAATATAATACTAATTCTATAATTCAGCAATTTTTTCAATATAATTTTCTTGACAAATTTTTTTTAGAGTACCATTATTTTTATGATTAAACGTATTTTATTTTTTGTAATATTATATATAATTAACATATTAAATCAACTATGATCAATAAAATTTCATTTATTTACTTTTTTTCTACTTTTTAAAAATTTTCTACTTTAAATAAAAGTTCAAATTTAAAATGTTTAAATTTTACAAAAATTAATTTGTAGGCTACAATTATGAAAAAAAATGGTTTATTTGATGATATAGGTATGTGGCCAGATAAAATGAAAGAATTCAATTATTACTGGTTGAAAAACTAATTCTTTATTACAACACTGTGATAGTCAGTTATTGAAATATAATTCATTTGAACAGTTGAATGGAAATAAAATCAGAAAATGTACTATAAGTATGTTTGAAAAAAAGACTCCAAGTGGGGAAGTTATCAATTGCTCTTGGCTGTGCCTTTCTCCAACTACTGGTCATCTTTATTGTTTTTTTGTAAATTATTCGATGACTCCAAAGACAATCAATTTATGCACGGCAGTTTTTGTGACTGGAAACATGGAAATGAGCGATTAGTACAACATAAATATCAAATAATCATTTAAGAGGATTGATTTTATTCAATAGCCTTTAAAGGACAAGGACAAATCAATAAAGAACTTGAAAAACAAGTCGAAGTTGCCACTCAATATTAGCACAATGTCTTAAAATGTGTCATTGATGATGTGCTATTTTTGAGTGAACAATCATTAGCATTTAGAGGAACTAATGAAACTCTGGGATCTCAAAGCAATGGTAATTTTCTAGGGATAATTGAATTACTGGCAAAATATGACCCTTTTTTGAAAGAGCATATAGAAAAGTATGGAAACTGTGGAAGTGGGAAAGCAAATTACCTCTCCAACTATTTATGAAGAACTCATTGAAGAAATTGGCAAATTAGTGTATAACGAAATATTCAATTTATTAAAAAAGGCAAAAATATATTCGATTTCTTTAGATTCAACAAGTGATGGTCATGTTGATCAACTGACTTTAATCTTCAGATATGTAGAAAATGCTACTCCAGTTGAAAGGGGTTTAAAATTTTTACCCAATCAAGGCCATAAAGCCATAGACATATTTCATGGATTAAAAAACTTTTTAAAAGAAAATGACATTGATATACATGATTGCCACAGTCAGTCGTATGATAATGCATCAGCAATGAGTGGAAAATTTATTGGACTTCAAGCTTTGGCAGCGAATGAAAATAAACAGGCAATATGGATACCTTGTTTAAGACATTCATTAAATTTGATTGGGGAAAAAAGCTTCTAATGCTTCTGTCTTCAAGTTATTTTATGTTTCTGCAAGCTATCTATTTTTTACAGCTAAGATTTACATTGGGCATTGCTTAAAGAAACATTAGAATCTTATAAAACTGGGATTGTCAAGATATGTGTACCATAATGAGTTGACTGTACTAGACGGTGTGCTCGAGGAAATGCTAATACGGCACTTGTACTCAACCATAAGCTAATCAGAGATACTTTATTGATTATATCTCAAAATAATAATTCTGATATAAAAGCATGATGTGAAGCATTAGAGCTTTATAAGAAAAAGTGCCTTTTGGAAACAGGAATCATGGCATCATTTTGGGACGATATTCTCGAAAACTTAAATAAAACAAGCAGTACGATTCAAAAATCTGAAAAAACACCGCAATTTTATGTATTAAATCATTAAAAACATTGTGGAAAAATGAGGTAACATTTCACATTATGAGAATTTAGGAAAAACACCAACTGGGATAAACAAGTATAAAAACGATTGTATGTGAAGGTCAAATGTTCATTGTAGAACACCAAAAGTTGAACTAACCATTTCCAAATCTTTCCGCATCTCTCAGTATCTTCCAATAATAAACACCTTCATAAATGCATCAGATCAAAGAATTTCAGCTTATAAAAAAATTGAACTGCAATTTGGTTTCTTATCAAAATTTGGTGAACTAAGTCAGGCTGAAATTTCAGAAAGATTGCTTAGTATCTCCAGACTATTTAGATGCTAATCTTGAAATGGAAATTTTGCATTGTTGCAATTTCAATATTTCTGCCTTGACTTATTGCAATTCGCTTCAGAAACTAGTAGAGAGCAAACAATGTATTCGTTAATTATTGAAAAAGAAGTTTGAGAATCTTTTCCAAATGTTGAAATGGTCTTGAAAATATATTTAATGCTAATGATATGCAAACATCTATGACACAAGAATGTTTAAATTACTTAACTGTCATAAGTACAGAACTTGTGTATTATGTGAAATAAATATTGAAGATGTAATAAAGAATTTTGCAGATAAAAAGCACAAAAATGTTTTACATAATTTTTATAAGTTTGTTTCATTTAATTTAAATGTAGTATGTTTAATGTATATTGTCTATATTTTATAAGAATGTTTTAAGCTTAAATAATAAGTAAAATAAAACCTTTACAATAATAAGTAAAATTTTTGAAAACATTTAAGTACAGTATTTTGTGTAAATTTTCTAAATCATCAAACTTGCCTACTTTTAAAGGGGACCACCACCACATTTGTGCCCAAAGGCCTCTGATTGTTAAATCCAGCCTGAGTGGGCCCAGTGAGGTATGCAGTATTTTGAGTAGAAAACTTTCCTAAACATATTTAATAATAATTCTACTAAATATTAAGACAAACTTAAAAATGCATAAAAACAAGCAACAATTAGTCAAAGAAAAATTATGATATTATAATAATTAAAGTGAACACAATGAACTTTGGAGCAATACTCAATACTGTGTCAATTTGAATACCAGTAAGGCAGCAATATACTTAACCTAAGTCTCATGCTTTCACAAAGACAAAACTAGATTAAAACCCAAATCGTTACAAATACATTTTATTTGTCTCATAGCTGCGTAATACCCAAAAAAGTCTTCTGAGATATAACAATACAGAAATTCAGAACAGGTTAAGAATTATAACTAACAACAAAAATTAAGGAAATTGAATGGAATGTTTGAATTTTATACTGGAAGAAAAGATCAGACTGGTGGTCCTGGTAGCTTAATTGGCAATGCAACAGCATAGTAAGCGGCAGTTGCAGGTTCGAATCCCGCTTTGAGCAGAATTACAGATTCTTTTCTTCCAGTTTAATCTCTAATTTTAAATTCGTTTCCTTAAATTTTAATAATTCACCACTTATTTTGTACTTCTAATATCACTCTTCATCTGAGAAATAACCATATTGTTAGCACTTTCCATTATATTTATGTACATATAATTAAATTCAATGACTTGACAATATAAATCTAATATCAATTATAAATACCGAAATTCGGCTTCATACACAAGTATTTAATGTATATAAATTAAAAAATAATTGAATGGATGGATATAAATTTAATTTTAATATTTTAACAAATTTTATAGAAAAACTCTTAAAGATTAATCTAAATACGAACTTTAACATTTAATAAAGTAAATTAACACATAATTATGATAAATCCAAACTAAACTCCGTTAATTTCTATAACAATATACTCAATGGAGAATGCGAAGCCTAATTTAACACTTACCATCGTGCGGGTCTTCTACCCATCTTGAATCTAAAATTAATAAAAAAAAAAAACAACAACGAATAAGTAAAAACTTAAAAACAGTTATTTAACTTTAAAAATCTCTACAGAAATACAAGAATTCGATAATAAATTGATCGATTAGAACCGATTGGCACGCATACCTTCCACCTCTCTATCTCTCGTCCAAAATGGAGGATGATGACGTCAAGAATTATATCACCACGTTTCTAAAACTCGATTGGACTCTCCATGTCACGTGGTACATTCGCTGCCTGGGGAAACTCTCCGATTGATTACTCCGATTGACGTAACCGTGACGAGTCAGGTGATGCTAACGGAGCAAGCGGATTGGACGGCTTCCGGTCACGTGCCCCCACGTGTCTGATGATTGAGTTAGGCGATGAGAAACAGAAAGAAATCGGGGTGATGCTAAAGGACATCGAAAACGGATAGATAAACGTTGATAAAGGGGATATTTACCATCATGTGTTCTTGTGTTAAGCAGGTTACAACATTTCAATGAGTAAAAGGCCGTTTTAAATCATGAATGTAAACAGTAAGTAAAGTTACAATACATAAAATGTTCCCATTGTTTATTTAGGATGCTCTTATGCTTGTTCTGCAATTTATTTCCTGTTTTCACTTTAATTTCAGCATTCTTCAATATTTCATCAACTTAAAAACCTAGAAAAACCATCTCCACTTCCCTCAAATCAATTGTTTCTTAGTGTTTTCTGAGAATTGACTTAATGTATTAAATTTAAAAATTAATGCTTAGCTCAATTCTAAATCAATCTTATCAATAATCTGTATGCATGTGAGAATGGATTAGATACTCCTTTTCTATAAGAATGCAAGCTTTAGTCTGTTGTGGGGCTCCGCGACTGATGCTTTCCTAATAGATATTGATTCGTTTTATGGGAGATTTAAATTTTCTTGTGTTTCGCTCTATCTAATTAGAATGACATGTGTTGTTTCCTTATGCTTCTAATGTTTTACTGTCAGCATTTGTGGCTATCTGGCGGGACTCTGCAATATTATGCCGCAACAGAGTGACTATTTTATGTCATCTTTTCTATTGCATTCCTATTTTAAGGATGGAATGTGGAGTCATTAACTCTCTCGGTGTGCTTTTGCTTATAAAACTTTATTGGAAAAATCCTGAGAGTCTAGTTGCCAGGAAACTGAAATTTTATTAGACAATAATGTACCGAAAGTACGTCTTTATTTATCTTCAAACTTTGGGTTAATTCATAAATATTATTTGTTATTAAATAAACTTTCACATCGCCTTAGGAGTTATTTACGTAAGAGTGTATGTAGATAAGGTATACGTACAAATAAATATTTAATTAAGTATGCAATGCATTTTATTGAAAAGATTAGACCAAGTAATTCAATTTATATGAAAAAATATTGTAAAAATTGCTTAATTATATATATAACAATTAAATTTAAATTAAAACACTTCTATCCTAGTCATCGTGTGTCAACTGAATTTGAATTAAAACAATTATTAACAAATCAAACAGCTTAAAACAGATTGTTAAACATTATCGAGCTGATTCCAAATGTATGAATTTTTCTAAATTATATATGCAAGAATAAATACTTGTTAATATCTATATTTACATTGAAAATCATCAAATAACTGTAATTAACATTCTGCAAGTATTGTGTTGTCTGAATGCATCCTGAAACTTGTTTAAACAGTATTTCGTGTCATTGACAGAAGCAGAAAGTTTATTGTTTCGTTTAATTTACTAATCAATTATTTTCTCTAATTTATGTACTTTAATTGTGAGCTTTAATTGCTTTTGTGAATTTCAAAAGATGCATTTTGAACATTTGTTCGACTGATTTTGTATAAATGAATACAAAAAAAGTCTCTACTATGTGAATTACTTATCTGAATTAGAGTGGAACTAGTTTACTAACATTCAATGCTTACAATGAGTCATACATCATAGAATTTTATTTTATTTTTTCCTCTCTTGTTCTAAATATACTACTACTTGATAAGCAGAAGGAATCTATCGTCATCTACCATTTAAATACAAAATATTGATCATTTTATTTTATCAAATTTACACAAAGAGGAAAACTAAAATTTTTTTTTTTCATAATTGCGTCATTTAAATTTCCTGTTATCAAATTAACAAGTAAAACTAGATACATAAGTAGCAGAATTTTATGTGCATATGACTAATGAATAGTGTATTTGTTGTAATTTTATCTTTATATTGGGTTAATGATCACTAACTAGTCTGTTATCATCTATAGCAGTGGTGGGCCAATTTCACATATGTAGGTGGACCCAAATATTTTGTATAATTTATATATATTTTATAATATTGTAATATTATATATATTTTATAANTAATATTGTAATATTATATTATATATAATACAATATTTCATAATATTGTATATATTTCACACAATATTTCTGTAATTTATAAGTAATGTATTAAATATGTTTTGTGGGCCAAATTTGGCCCGGGGGCAATAGTTTGGGCACTACTGATCTATATCATTGCTACTTTATAAATTGTAATTCTTTTATTCTTTTATTATTCAATCAGTTATGGTTATAAACATTAATTATATAATCATATATATTTATATTCAGTAGTGCAAGTTACCGATGCAATAACAATTTGTTTTTATTTGTCATGCTCTTTGAGCAGAAAGAAGTTCCACTTTGCCATAGACCCCTTCTGTTTTATTAATAATAAGAAATACAAAAACATAAAAATATTGGTTATGATTTAAAAAAAAAATACTAAACTAAATGTTGACTTTAGAGAAAATAACTCAGAATTTTAGATATAATTTTCTTAACAAAAAGTATCTGATAAGGATCAGTCAGATGATAGTGTTTTTAATTTGGCATATGTCAGCTGAATACTTCTATCATTCTGTTACATCATTTGAAGATAAAGTTTGTTATTCTCATTATTAAATTTCACTATTATTTCTGATCAGAAATATTTTAAAATAACTTTTCTTTTTTTTAATTATTTAATATGACAGAAATACTAAATTTTAAAATTTTAACTGTTGTGGCTATATTATTTATGCATATTTAATTTATATTTATTAAATGTAAATACTTAAATCATAATTTATGGGATGTATTATTAGAGAATTGAGTGTTATAAGGAAGTTTTATTTAAAAATCAAAGTTATTAATTTCTTATATAAGTTAATATTCATATTTGAAACTGTTAGATTTATCTAATCAGAATGTGAACCTGAGAATTTTGTATTTTAAATGATAACATTTCATTAAATATTGCACTCTTTTTAGTTATAAAATTTTTTTTTTAATGAAATATTGAAATTTAATCTGTAACAATAATTAATTGCATAATATATAGGAAAAAACAAATTTAAATTATTGTCTGACCTATTTTCTTGATCCAACCTTCCTTTACCTCAATTTATCTTTTTAATGGATCTGCCCGATTGTGACTTGTAAGTCATTTTAAAAAATTATTCTTTTTAATTTTTTTTAGATAAATTATTATTAAAATTTGGTGAAATTGCATTTTAAGATGATAAAATTTTTTGTTAAATGTTAAATAAAGCAAAGATTGAAAGTTAAAAATTATGCAAGATTTAATATTTGTTATCAATAATTTTCAATTTATCATCTTATCCTGTAATTTTTATATTAGGTGTTTTATAATCAGAATATGTACAGATGTAAATCACAAGACTTGATATCTGTTATGATTTAATTTATATCTGTGTGTAAAATATAGATATTGAATTAAAATATTAAACAGAATATTTTTTTAATTTTGAAAAACTAACTACTAAAAAAAATTAACTCATATTTTTATTTATTGTATTAATTAACAGATTAAAAAAAATTTTTTTATGAATGGCTGTAATAACCATTAGGCAAGTAAGCATGTGCTTAAGCCATTGGGGAAAAGTCGCAGAGGTGTGTTATAGATTCATGGGGTCTTGGGCGTATTTGAATTAGGGAACCCCATGTATGGCATCGACTTCAAACATTTTTGTTCAGGAAATTTTGGAGAAATCTCCTGGTATCCTCATTTGTTTTTTAACGTGACCTTTGTTCTGTGCCGGTGCATCCTGCTCCTGAACCACACCGGCAATCTAGGGTTGTTGAATATGGCCCAAATTTAAATTTTGATATTCTTAGTAGAGTAATGAGTTCAACAAAGATTGGTTGGGGACCCCAGGTAATTGCTTTTGTTGCTCATAGGATAACATGCTGCTGAGGGTGCACCGTAAAAACCTGCTTGCTATACTGTGATGCAAAACTGCAAACAATGCAACTTAACCAATGGCCACGAATGGGAGGCTCCAGAGTAAATGAAAAAAGTTGAAGTATTTGTTGGCATCATTCATTTTGAAAAATAAAATTCTATTTTATGTTTTATTATTGTGTATATTTTGAATTCATATACAGTATATGGCATTACTAAAATCTTTTTAGGGCTTCTAAATTCTTAATCCAGCTCTGTCCCTATGTAAAGATATACAATCAAACCTTGATTTAGAATCACTATTTGTTCACTTCTGAAACTGGCATTAAATTTAGTATGGCACTAAACAGAAGTGTATGTAATAATGAGTTATAAGTTCAAGTAAATTATTGTTATTTACTAGTGACACTTATTCGTAGCACCAATTCCTTGTATTAACAATACAACCCTTTTTCCATGATGTCACTGCAAAATGCCACTGAATAGTCAATAGTTTTTTAATTAAAATTTAACTAGAAACAGAAATAGTTACTATCATTATGTAATTAATAAGTACTTACTTAATTTTATACATATAATATCTACACAAAAATTTTGCTATTTAGACTAACAGCCTTCTCTCTGCAAAACTCGTCATGTTTGGTAACTTGTCGTCTCAAATCACATCAATGACATATAAGTTGAGTTTGGGGACACTGCTATATATACAGTATATATAGAGAAGTCTTCAATAGAAATCTAAACTAAATTCCTCAAGGTGGATGATTCTTCTGAATCATCTTGAAGAAACAGATCATAAAATAATATTGATCATTACTATGTAATGATAAATATCTAAGTTACAGAATTCATTTAATTTTTAGTTTGTAGAAGTAATGATGATATAGTATTTTGTCAATGTAAATTGTATATCAGAATATTAACGGCTTTACATTTCTTGCTTTTACTGTAAACAGGCTATTTGTAATTTAACTAAATTTACTAAAATATTAGTCTATTTACAATGTTATGCATCAATAAATAGTTTTGCAAATGAATACCTGTACTCTTAAGCAAACAACAATCTATTAGAACTAGGTCAAAACATGATGAGATGTTTTAATTTAAATATATAAAGCTACGTGAATATGTAGTTAAAGCTATTTAATTATCTAAGCCCGAAAGTTATATTAAAGCCAAACGATTGCTGGATTAAATCGCTCTATATTACTGTTACTATTAATAATTAAATACTGAATAATTTGGCCTAGAGGCAGGCATTAAGCCAAATTATTCAGTATTTATGTATTGATATTAGTGATATATAGCT